CCATGATTAATGTGGCTGTGGCTGACAAAGCTGTACTGGTTGGGCTAATCAGGTGCTTTGCGAAAGCTTTCAACTGACAGGTCGGCAAGACTTGTTGAGTATCCTAAAAAAGGACACCAAGCGTGCTCCCTAGTCAGTTTCCAGACAATCGTTTCAACAATGGTGTGTTCACGGGCTGCTAATAACCCAAACGCAGACGACCCCGATAGCGTAGTCGAGACAAACTCAGCCGAATATCAAGCGAGTAATTGTCCAGTATCTAGCTATCAATAATCAGGCTACGAATGGGTAGTTAGCGACGAGTCGAGACACAAGTGGCTGATCGGACGGTTGAGCGAGCGAGTGTTGTGTTGCGCAGTCTTGAGTGAAGAAGTGGGCGGTGATGCGCAGCTGGTGTTCAGCATCATCCCAGGAAGATTTCCGTAAATGCAGAGCCAACCTTGTAATCTGTCTCAGCCAAAGATGACTGCTTAACTACACATCCTTATGATGAACTTTCGACACCACTTATTATGGGCAGTGCTCTAGGGATTAACAGGAAGCAGCATGCAAATCTATGACTTTGATGACAACACAGATGGGCAAATCTTTCTCAGCATATTACACATCTTTAACGTAGTTGTATCAGGACACTTCTTAGCAGTTCATTGTAGGAGGTACAGGCATCAGGCATGGCTTCCCCGTATGGTCTCGACATTCTGATTGGGGGTGGAGAAGGGGAGACCAGTGGCAGTGGTCATTTTAACATTTCTGACACATAATAACACAGTTGAGGGTCACTGAATCTTGTCTGTCTAACTGTTAGACATTCGATGGCCAGACATCTTAGACTTTGTTGTTATGGGCACTTGACGTGATCAGTCACGGAAAAGAATGGTCGGATACACCAGTAGACATGCATGGCATCTATAAGGTTTTCATCACACTCGGAAGGTACTGCATGGATCAAATTCCTGTGGCCGTAGACACTGAAGTAAGGGAAATGATAGATTAGCATTCAGACCCAGAAGATATCATCATCTACATTGATAGATCCGTGATGCGCGGATCAAGGTCAGCATGGGCATACAAAGCGCAAAGAAGGGGGAAAACAATACATGAGGACAGCGGCGCTTACCACACAACCACATCAAGCATGACCATGGAAATAGCTGCTGCTTCTAGAGCTTTAGCATGGGTATCCGAGCAAACCGCCACACAGACAGTAATTGTCTCAGACTCAATGAATATGCTTCAGAAGATAGCAACAGGCAGTATGTGCTCTGAATGGATAGAAGGCAGTCAGAAATTGCACGTAACCTCCGTAACCTGGATCTACACACCGGGTCATGCGGGCGTAAAGGGAATTGAGGGAGTTGACCAACTGGCAAGCACTGCACTAATGATTGCGGGAAAAAGCATGGACAGAGCAGATATCGTCAACGCTGTACCGACTGGGCTAGTGTATACTGAGGGATCCCTGACACTAACACGACTGCATGATATGGGAGTTAAGCATGGTGAAACACATCTTTGCCGTCTTAGAGGCTGAGAAAGGAGACTATATAACCAGCTTCTCATGGGGACAATTAGTAGAAGTACTTTGGAGTGGCTGCTGCTTCAGAGGACTGAGCACGCATGGGTGATAACAAAACATAAAAAAACATCTTGTAGGGAGTCGGCAGTCCAAAACCCAAGTTCAAGGTGTCTCCTTTGTGCCAAAGAACTGCATGGCTGTTGGATGAACATTCGTTAAAGAAGGCAGTCAGGTCGTTGTAGGGGCGACGCCTGCTGTTGGATGTAATGTCCTAAGTCCCTTCCCCAGCTATTAGTGAGGGTACTGCTGGGGTGACCGTTTATTGACCCTCATATAATGCTTCAGGTAAAAATGGACACTAAGCACGGCCACCTTTTTTTTTTTTAGCCGTGGCAAATGTTTTTGTTGTTGTTTTTTTTGCTTCTGCCAGACGGTGGTTGTTGCATTCGTAGACTGGAAGGATATAGTTTTGTCGCCCAGCTTCTGAGTTAAGTGCATGGTGTGAAACTGTGAGCTACATGTGTTTTTCATTGGCACAGGAGCGGAGCAACTATGGGGTGACCCGTTTGCTATGAAGCTGAAGCTAGGATTACCAGATTACCAGATTCAACTCATCCTCTCTCATATCTCATTGTGTTATTATTTTAACTCGTTATCTTTCATACCTCAGTGTTATTTCAACCCACTCTCTCTCATATCTCATAACATTTTTTAGTTTAACTTATTCTCTGTCTTATACTGTTTTTATTTTAACTCTCTCTCTCTCTCTCTCTCTCTCTCTCTCTCTCTCTCTCTCTCTCTCTCATCTTATAGTGTTATTTTTCAACTCATTTGTTCTGATAACTCAGTGTTATTATTTTAACTCTCTATCAAATCAGATCGACCCAGCCTTGAGTGGGTACCAGGTAAGTCATGGAAAGCAAAGGCAGCTGGCATGATTCTAACTACATCACCACCCCCCAAGTGTCGTTTGGTCTATTAAATATAGGTCTAGCCCTATATACATCACTGACAACAGCTACAGGTAGCGGTGGACACGTCAGTGAACTGCTAGTACTTTCATCAACCCTGAAAAGGTCATTGTTTTATTGTAATTGGACCCTCATTGTTAGAGCTGATGTCCCAAGACTCAAAATCAATGACAGAAAGATTTAAAAAAAATAATGAGAAAAGAAAGAAAAGAAATACAGCTATGTATCACCTTTGATAGAATTCTTTACTGCAGCGACTATGTAAAGGGTAACTGCAGTGAAATGCCCCGCAAGCAATGAAACATATCTTCTTCTTCTTCTTAAAGTCCATGCTGTGTGGCATTGGTAGTCATGTATCCACAACCTTCCGTCTTGTGTACTTTCAATCAACTCACACACAGATGATCTTCCATGCCATGATGTCAAACCATCCAGCATCTGTTCTCTCAGTCTCCATCTGCCTTCCCTCTCTCCAACTTTCAAACCATCACAATGTACTCCAGTTTTCTCCTCATGATTTGATGAAAGAATGTATATTGTCTTTTTTTTATGTGGGCAATCAATTCTCTTTAAAAGCCAGTTTATTTCAAGACATCCTCATAACTCTTTTTATCTGTCCAGGGTATTCTCATCATTTGTCAACAAAACCACATCTCCACAGCTTCCAAAATGAAACATATAAGCATGCATTAATGTGGAATTTAGTGCGAGTTTGACAAGGAGGGACATATGAAAGAAACATTATGTGCAGAAGAAGACAACCACTGTGTTTCTGGAATCAGCTAATATGGGATTGCCAGGTTTGCTGTGATAATGATTTAAGAAATCAAATCAAATGTTTTTTATTATGAATAATATTTGTAATTTTTAGACCAAACAAATCAGCAAGTTACCTAAATTTAATGATTGCATCAGCATCATCAACTTTTATTGTCCAGGTGCAGTAGGAGTTGCTGCCATAGAAATTAGGGTAGTTGAATGTTGACAGGCTTCCTGTCCTCTCTGTCATGGTTCGGTTGCAGTCTGATGAGAACAAAATTCACAGGATATTGCAGATCTGAGAACTGACATCTTAATTCAGATCTAATGTGAGAGGTTTTTAGTAATCAGATAAGTTCATCAGTACAGCTAAGTAAAGTCTTCTTCTGCACATAAAAAGCAGATGGCACACTGAATTGTAGATTACAGCAAGGCTGCGGTATCTGCACTTTTGGGCCCTGCACATCTGATTTCAACAAAACCTTAAAAAAATTAATCATTTACAAAATGCTTGTAAGGGGTTGTGAATCTAACCCCTTCCTCCCACCCCTTTCCCAACTCCTCACCCCACCCTCTAATAAACAGAGAACCCATAGAAAAAGTAAATGATTCCTTTGGATGCCAGAAGGTTTACATTTATATGATGCTAACCACATATTTTTAGATTAAATAGCATCTGATGAGGGATGTGGTCAAATTCACATGAGTCCTCTTTACTTTGCCCCACATTTCATTTGTTTGTACTCATTTTAATTTTGGATTGACCTGACAACCCACGTGGGGGGAGGGGGGGGGGAATCTCTAGGAATCAGACATAATGCTAGATCTCTAGGAATAAGATATAATACTAGATCTCTAGGAATCAGATATAATACTAGATCTCTAGGAATCAGATATAATACTAGATCTCTAGGAATCAGATATAATACTAGATCTCTAGGAATCAGATATTATACTAGATCTCTAGGAATCAGATATTATACTAGATCTCTAGGAATCAGATATTATACTAGATCTCTAGGAATCAGAAATAAGGCTAGATCTCTAGGAATAAGATATAATATTAGATCTTTAGGAATAAGATATACTAGATCTCTAGGAATCAGATATAAAGCTAGGTCTTTAGGAACCAGGTACACCTTAACCACTTTATTCAGATATTATGACAGACCTCTAGCAGATCTCTAGGAATCATCAACACATTAACTACTCAACTCAAAAGTCATGCTAGATCTCTAAGAATCATATACACCACAATGACCTAATCTAGATATCATGACAGATCTTTAGGAATCTGATACAGCTTAATCACTTAATTCAGGTGTCATAATCTTGGAATCTGATATAAGATAACTTCTTAAATCAGATATCATGATAGATCTCTAAGATTCATTTACACTTTAACAACCTAATTCAGATATCATGACAGCAATCTAGGATACACTTACTGGTAGTATAAAACAACAACAGTGCAAAAGACGCCACGATGACCAATACCTCACAGTAAAGCAGAGCTTTCTCAAGTTTTCCTGCTGGTGACACTTTTTAGACAACCATAATTTTGTAACACTGTCATTCCGTCTACAAGCAAACTAGAGAATAAATGTATCCCTTATAAGAAAAAACAGACAGAAACATAAATTAATTTCTCATGACACACCTTTACACTGCCGCTGGTACACTAGTGTTTCGCGACACAATTTCAAAAGCTCTGCAGTAAAAAGACTAAGAAAAAAGACAAACGTCCCTCTCACCTTGACAGGTTCCATTAGAACTGATCTCAAGTCCACTCCAGCAGACACACTCGAAGCTGCCATTCAAGTTCCGGCACTGCCTGTAGTCAGGACAAGGATGCTGGGAGCATTCATCCACATCTACAGAGCAGTCGTCTCCTGTCCAGCCTGGCTCACATGTACAGTTACCTGTGGCTCTATCACACTGAGCCGTGTTGTTCTCCACACACTTGCAGGTAGATGGGCAGCTACCAGTACATGCTGCAACGTGTAGTATTCTGTTAGTTATTTTAATTAATGTCAAGTAATGATAGACCTGCAATCATCACTGACATTGAAGAGTTGGAGAACAGTAACCATTTCAAATACCTGAGATCCCCTGTGAATAAAACACTATTACTGGACCAAGATATGGACATCAGGATAGATAAGACAGCAACAGCGGTGATCAGTTTAACAGAAAGAGTTTGGGAGAATAGAAACAAAAGTATTTTGTCTATCTTAGTAAAGCTACTTGTTCTAGGAGAAAAGATTGAATAGTTTTCCCATGAGATGCCTACAAGAAATACTTGGCAATTGTGTGGCAAGACAAGTTTACAAACAATGAGACATTAGTATTTATTATTTTTTTAAGTTTCTAGGAAAAAGAGATTTCACAACCATTTTCTCAATGCTTAGTCTTTAAAGGCTCAGATGGCTATGACACACCTTGGCAATGGTAGTGTCTCTCAGGATGTTCTTTATGGTGATTTACAGATGGGTAAAAGATGGAGTTGGCCTTTACTGCGATAAAAACATGTGTGCAAGCGGGACATGAATGATACAAATATTAAGATTTATCATGGGAACAGGACAAGGGGAAAATCAGGAAAGAAGAAAGAAGAAAAGGATTGCAGAAAGGCAAGAAGCTGAACATTTGAGAATAAAAAATGTTAAATATATGTGATGGCAAACAAGGCTTCTAAAATCCAATTCATTTATTGCAGAAGATTTTTCGGCTCTCCTCCGAATGACGGGTCTGAATGATCGCATTAAAAAATATATCTCAGCAGGGGTCAAATTTGGATGTATGTCTGGCAAATATAAGCAGGCAGACCATCAGCTCTGACACAGATTAGCACTAATGTTTTACCGATTGATAAACTGGCATCTGCCGAGTTAGACCTGCCGACTTTTATATATATATATATAAATTAATTAGGGTTAGGGTTAGCCCTAAGGTCCTTACTTACCTTAAAAACTAACTCCATCAGCTTGAAGAGACTGTCCTGACTTACCCCTACAACTAACTCCATCAGCTTGAAGAGACTGTCCTGACTTACCCCTACAACCAACTCCATCAACTTGAAGAGACTGTCCTAACTTACCTCCACAACTCTATCAGCTTGAAGAGACTGTCCTGACTTACCCCCACAACTCTATCAGCTTGAAGAGATGAAGAGGCAGTCCTGACTTACCCCCACAACTCTATCAGCTTGAAGAGACTGTCCTGACTTACCCCCACAACTCTATCAGCTTGAAGAGACTGTCCTGACTTACCCCCACAACTCTATCAGCTTGAAGAGACTGTCCTGACTTACCCCCACAACTCTATCAGCTTGAAGAGACAGTCCTGACTTACCCCCACAACTCTATCAGCTTGAAGAGACTGTCCTGACTTACCCCCACAACTCTATCAGCTTGAAGAGACTGTCCTGACTTACCCCCACAACTCTATCAGCTTGAAGAGACTGTCCTGACCTACCCCTACAACTAACTCTATCAGCTTAAAGAGACAGTCCTGACTTACCCCCACAACTAACTCCATCAGCTTGAAGAAACTGGCCTGGATGACAGGAGCACTTGTAGCTGCCATCTGTGTTGATGCAAATCTGGCTGCAGATGTTTACTTGCTGGCATTCATTTATATCTGGACATAAATGTCTAGTTTCAGTTCACACAAAATTCACAACTGCATACACATTTTATGTTTCAGTTTGCATCTATTTCCATCTTGACATAAATATAGTATGTGCAGTTTGCATTTATTTCCATCTGGACATAAATTTAGTATGTGCAGTTTGCATTCATTCACATCATTATTACACATATTGTGTCTCAGTTCGCATCCATGCACCTCTAGAAAAAAGTACCGTGTGTAAATTGATCGTGATTAACATTTGGACAAAGAAATCATGTGTATTTTGACATTCATCACATCTAAGCAAAGCCATCTTGTGCAAATTGACATTCATTTGGAAAAAGATATAATGTGTGAAGTGATATTTATTCACTTTTGGACAAAGCTTTTATGTGTAAATTGATATTTATTCACATTGGGACAAAGCTATCATGTGTAAATTGACCTTGATTCACATTTTGACACACCTATAATGTGCAAAATGACATACATTCCCATTTGGACAAAGCTATCATGCATAAATTTACATACATTCACATTTGGACACAGCTATTATGTGAAAATTGGCATTCATTAAATTTGCAAAGCTAGCATATGCAAACTGACCTCAATTCACATTTAGACAAAGCTATCATGTGTAAATTTACATTCATTCACATTAAAACAAAGCTATCATGTGTAAATTTACATTCATACACATTTGAACAGAGCTATCATGTGTAAATTTACATTCATTCACATTTAAACAAAGCTATCATGTGTAAATTGACATTCATACACATTTCAACAAAGCTATCATGCGTAAATTCACATTAATTCACATTTGAACAAAGCTATCATGTGTAAATTGTTTTATAGCTATAAAAATCATAAGTGGTGTGTTTCAAATTTAAAAAAAATTTTGTTTTGTTTTTGCTGAATAGAAGTTCACAGTATATATTAAGGCTGTGTAAATGGAAAGGGTTAATAAGATAGTCAACTAAGTTTATACATCAGTTATGATCTGCTGCCAATTAGAAGTCTAAAAATAGTAAACTCTCAAGTCCCTCAAAGATTTGCAGAATGTGTCGAAGGAATGGAATAATTAAACAAATCACTAGTAATAGCTTTCAAAAATGTCAACTACAAAATGGCAAATCAAGGAGCCAGATTGTAATAGTATGTTTAGTAAAAGAGTAAAGTAAGTGCCTCATGCCTTCAGGTGTATAGGGCATATAGGGCTAGACCTATATTTTTAAAGACCAATCGGCACAAAATGGATGATGTGGTCAGCATCATGTTGGCTGCATTTACTTTCTGGTACTGCACCGGTACCCACTCAAGGCTGGGTCAACCTGGGGGTTAAGGTCATTTTTGAAAAAAGTTCGCCTCTGCCCATGAGCTAACCCTCAACCTTCCAACACCCACGGGAGCGTCTAGCCGCTACACCAAGGGGACTCCCTATGTTTAGACCAGATGTAAAAATAATAGACATATTAACATAACAGTAATGTTTCCTTCACAAGTATAAGCAGAAGAGTTGCACCGTATTGCTAGTTTACACATTAACAGAACAAACCTTGACGCGTATTGTGTATATCCATGGTAATTCACATGCACGCACGCACGCATGCACACACGCATGCACACACACACACACACACACAAGAATTTATGTTTGCAAGTAAGGATGAAAGAGTTAAAGAGCAAGATACATCAATAGAACCTACCTTTGTAAGTATTAGTGGTATAATTTTACTCTAATGGTACTTAATACATTAATAAAACATACCTTTGTAAGTATTAGTGGTATAACTGCACATTAACCATACTAACATGTGAGCAGGACATACCTGTACAAGCATTGCTGGAAGAGTTGTAAGCATAGCCACTGTAACAGGAACAAGTAAAGCCCCCTTGGGTGTTGGTGCAGACTTGGGAACAGTTGTGAAGTTTTCTGTTCAGACATTCATTCTCATCTGAGAAATAAATAATTACTGCATTTAATAAAGCAAGTCTAAATATCATGAACAAGAACATTTATCCATGAAGTTTCAACAACGATCATCCTTACTTTAACTAATATAAGACTTGAATGAAGAAGACAGAATCAAGCATTGCCCAATTTATCATCTGATATTTTGTATCTTGTCAGGTGCACACTAGAGAATTCAGCTGAAATACAAACTAAAATGTTACTGACTGTTTTACAAGGGCAAATATCTTTTACAACTATGTCTTTTCGATTTAGTTGAAAGGATTAATTTACTTGCTTAGCCTAACTTTGCGTAATTCTGGAGTCAGACAAGATACAGAAAACTATATCAGGCAATTAATTGTGCAATATCTTGTTTGATTCTTCTTTATTTAAATTTATAGTGGGAAAACTTTGCTTTAATTAAAGGGTAGGAACATGTCTTTTTAGTGGATGGGTCATGAGGTACATTGATTAAGTCACTTTAAATGCATTAGCAGCTTTTGAAGGCTCAAACAAAATATAGAACTTGAAGTTATGTATTTTTAGAACCAGCTTCAATCAATCAATCCTCACTGCGCTCAGAGCACATGAGGCAGAGAAAACCTTTCAGCACATAATTCAATCCTGAGCCATCCTCTTTATCTCCAGTTTTGTCCTTCATGTAGCCTTAAGTTCGGCCTCAAAGGTTTGCCTCCAAGTGCCTCTGGGCCCTGATCCTAATGACAGCATTAACCATCTAACAAGAAGAGACCAGGCCACCATCTTCAGACTTAGAACGCAACATACTCCACTCAATGGACACCTAAACAGAATACAGCCACAACACTCTCCAGAGTGCCAGCTATGTAACTACCCCTACGAAACTGTTGAACACCATCTCTTTGAGTGCCCAAAACTCAGTGAGACAAGAAGAACGCTACTCCCTCCGAGACCAGACAAGTGGAACACCTTGTACGGAGGAAAAGAACAGCTTGTGAAAACATGCAAATTCTACTACATGGCATTGGGCCAAAGGGCGAAAGCTCATGCGCCGCTGGATCGATAACAACAACAACAACCAAGTGCCTCTGGGCCTGTTTCTTCCTGGCACTCCTTGTGGTGTCCATTGCATTGTCTGTCTCAGCCGTCCTTTTTCTTCATTCTGAGGATGTGCCCAATACACCCCTATCTTTGTTTATTTTATTTTTTTATTTCTAAACTTACATCTTCTAAGTTTGTCCTTTATTGAAATTTAGAACTACTGATTTGATCTTCCCATGTGAACCTCAACAATCCTCTGAGAAGTTTTCCCTCAAAACGTCTGAGCATGCTCTCTATCTTTCTGTTTGTTTT